GGGTGTGCAGAAGCTTAGTTGTGGAGTTTCTACGGGGATGACATAGGTATTTGTGGTTGCCCATGGGGTATTCAGTGGACATTTAGGGTTTGGAGATTCGACAGTTGGCTGAGATTGTCAGCGCCATGGGTCAGACACTAAGGGTCCGGATGAGTGGTGTTTTGGGTTCATGTTCTGTGATGTTCATGGAGTTTGTGTTGAGCTTGGGGTGTGGATGTCCTCAGGGAATATGGGGGCTGAGATGAAGGATGTGGGGACTCTCCACAGTGTGGATTTGGGTTGTGCATGGGTTGGGTTTGGGGAGTGCAGATAAAGTTATGGTAAGCCATACAGTACTGGAGGTCTTCTGGGTTCACCATGAGTTTTGGGTTCCTCTTATGGTCTGCTAGGAGGTGGAGAGCTTAGGGAGCAGTTTGGAATTTAAGGTCATCACACACAGACTCTTACCTGGAGCTCCTTGGCCTTGGAACTCTTGAGGGGTTCACCTGCATCAAAAAGAGGAAAGGGGGAGGGTCGTGGTTATGGAGGAACTCAGAGGGATCCCAGAGGGACATGGAGGGGGATTTATACAGGATGGACAGGGAAATGGGAACTCCAGGGCATGGACTGGGGTTGCAGTGTGCAGCAGTGAGTGCTTGCGGCATCTGTGGGAGATGAAACCATTTAACCCCTTCCTCACCAGAGCTGGCAGTTCTCTGTATCCGGCGTCTGCGGGCAGGCAGGAGGAAGAAGGTGATGAGGATGAGGCCGAAGGCGAGGGCAGTGGCACAGCCCCCTGCCACTGCCACAACCAGGCTCCCACGGGATTCCCCATTGGCACCTGTGCAGTCCGGGTGTTTGGGTGATGCCATCCCCAGAAACTGCCTCCCTGGGGACGGGATGAGGTGACACTGCCACCCATGGGTGATACGAGGGACATAGACATGGGAGACTCAGACCTACCTGGACGTGTAGGTGGGGATGTCACCTCAAGTGTCACGCTGTCCCCGAGGGGTGAGGACACAAAGGGGTGACCCCAGGGGCGGTAGGAGCAGCTGTAGGTGCCGGTGTCAGCTGGGGACACCCCAAAGAGGGTGAAGGTGGCCATTCCTCCACCACTGGGGTCCTGGCGCTGGACAGGGGCTGAGTGCCCACCCTTGTGCAGGAGGAAGGAGGATCCATAATCCCAGTTCCAGCACAGGATGGTGACATTGGACCCTCTCCCCACGTGGATAC